GATGTGTACAAGAGACACAGCCACTACCGTGTCTCCTGATATATATATGTATATATAAAATCAGAATTTGATATAAAATAAATTAAACATTATGTGTAATATTATATATAATATATATATAATAATTCATATAATTTTCCAAGTATTATGTTTTCTTCTCCACGTGTGAGAATGTAATTTAGAAGTTTTAAAGATGTAAAGCATGTAAACTTCTATCGTAATACAGCTAATATAATGAAAAACATCCACAAATTCTGCAAAGAATCGTTAAGGCATGGCACTACCTTTAACCTCTCAATTCACATACTGGGTTAGCGACTAGCGTAAGCTAACCTGAGTAACCCAGGTCGATTTTGATTAACAATCAATTTTTAAAATTGTCCACTTCTTTTTTATAAAAATTTTTATTTGCAAAAATATTCTCGAAAATCTAATATGCATTTTTGTATTCTTCGATTTTTGGCGGATCGATTTAAAAAAAAATCGTTCTAATCCATACAGTACAGTTCGAGATACAAACCAAACAAGGGTTACGTTAACCCAGTGTGGGGGTACAGTGTGACTAAAATATAGTGTGTGAACTGAGAGTTAAAATTGTTCAGTTGATAAAAAACTTTATACTGACTCCTCATTCTGTTTGTCTAAAATAATGTACGCAACGTAGACAAAACGTGCAAAACTCAGTCTAAAAAATTATGTTTTTTTTTTGTTTCTTATTGATTTATGCTTATTTTAAATAAACGATATATATTCGATAATTTAATAACCAGTGTCTTCTCTATTCTTCGTGTTATAGAGCATACGCATGGGCGAGGGTAATGCAACCATTGTGTTTAAGACGCAATCTGCCGCTACGGTGTTTCACAAGAAATACCAGCGTAAAATGCTCGATCTATCGCTGATAACTGTTCGTCTCGTGCCGCAAAGCGCACCCGGGAATAAAGCGGTCACAGCGGTCGCGAAGAAATCCTAAAGGGGAAAGAAAAGAATCTTGGGATATCCTCGATATTATCTTTAATATTAATTTGATGTATACCGAGACTTTCCTAGACGATACCGCTTTCGTTTCAAGATTCATTCAGACCTGTTTAATAGAGATAAAAAAATATGTATCTATATTTTATATATATGCATACACACACCATACACACACACACACACACACACA